AGTGGTAACGTGAACCAGCTCATAATATTTGCATTGAATACATCAAATACATCACATTATTTATTTGTTTATTTTATTTTTATTTTTGTAATTGTGATACAAAGGTTTTTCAATAATTATCTCTGAGAATATTTTGAGAATGTTTGTTACTGATATTGTGATGTCATATTACAATGATGGTTCAGTTTAATGAGATGAGGATTTAACATGAATTATATTAGTAGTTCATGATTGAAAGCTAAAAAAAGCTAAAAAAATGTTCTGACCTTACTCACTGTAGGTCAGGTTTTATTTGTTGGACCTCTTTGAACCTTTGATCTACCTGGATGTTGGAGCCTGGATCGAGACGTTGAATTCGGCACTTCATTACACACACACCCCCCACCAACTGTGCGGTAGGACAAACTCTCTCCACTTCCACAGTGGACCGAACATAACTAAAACTAATAATAATAATAATTATAATAATAATACATTTTATTTATAATGCCCCCAATAAACTGAAACTGATTTGAAGTGACTGAAAACAGGGGGGGGGACTTTAGATCACGGCTGTGAGTTTTGTTTACATTTTTTATCTTACCCAGGTAAGATTTGTGTCATTTAAAGAGTTTTTTGCATTTCTATGTTTTTGGCTTATCCTTCCAGTCCATGTATAAAAAGGGAAGCGTTTTTTGTTTCTCAAAGAAAGTACAACTGTGTCTGAGTCATTCCTGGTGTATTGTTTGGTTAATCCTAGGCTCCGTAGTCGAACATAGAACTTCTGATCCCACTGGCCATAAATAATCATTATATAGAGTAATCCATTTCTGTTCCCCATCTCTAAAGGGTTACATAAGAATTAATAAAGTGCATTTTTAACTCTGATACACAGGCACAAATTGTTCGTATGTTTTTATGTTCAAGGGGATGAAAGTTTCATGAGTTTTGAACTGCAATTGTGTACACAGTATAAAAAATATGAAAAAAGCTGAATGAACTTTGAACGTTTGAATGAACTTTCTACTCTGAAACAATTAGAAGAAGGAGCCAAAATAATCTGGTGGAAAAATCTGGCTTCTCCCATACACTGCTCATAGGCTGACACCTGCTGGTGAGTTTACGGAACAGCAGCTGACAGTTGGAGAGAAAATAAAGGCAGAAAATAGGAAGAAAGTAGGTACAGGACTCAGTTCAACAGCCAGACATCTTATTCCTGTTGTTATCAGCGGTCTGAGAGCCGTTTAGAGCTGCTTTAAACCTCTAAAATGAGTCTGAGTGGTACCATGAGTCCGGACTCTCTCCGGACAGACCCCCTATAAATCCCCCACAGAGACAGGGAGCTGCTGTGTTGCTCCGGTAGCACATATACTAAAATCAGAACGATACAGAGAAGAAGTTATAGAAGATCAATTCTTTCATCTCTACGTCTGCAGGCTGCACATTACCCTCACACATGATTCCTTCATGCCAGCATCCTTTGCTCTTCTCTTCCTTCAGCCTCCTCTTCCTCTTCTATTACAGTAAACACTTTAGGTTGGTACTAACTAACATCAGCTGTGTGTGATCCTGTACAGACTGAACTATCTAGTCAGCAGTGAGAAAGTTTCTCTCTCCCTCCTACAGAGGACACAGAGACACTGAGGAACCATAGCTGTAAGACCAGAAACAGAACCCAGGATAAAGAGGTTCAGTGAATGTGGTGTTGAAGGTGTGGAGGTGGATCAGTGTGTCAGAGGAGACTGTGTAGAAGGACAGAGTGCCAGCAGGACAGTCCACATACACTGCTACTCTACGAGAGGAGGAGGAGGAGGAGGAGGAGGAGGAGGAGGAGGAGATGGATGTTCTTCTCTTATTGTGACAGACAGAGTAACGACCATCAGAGCACTGCAGACTCCAGGACTGATCATTCCCTCCAAACACACAGTCTCTACTGTTTCCTCTCCTCCTGATTCCTCTGTAACTCACTGATATATAAACCCATCCTCTCCACTCGACCTCCCAGTAACAGCGACCAGTCAGACCATTTCTACACAGCAGCTGAGACCAGTCAAATCTGTCTGGATGATCAGGATATGACTGATACTCCTCCACATGAATCACCTTCCTGTTGTTGTCAGACAGTTTGATCTTTCTGTTCACTGTGTTTGTGTCGACTGTGAGTTCACAGGAATCTGATGGAGAGAACAAGACACAATACAGCTGCAGTTATTGATCTATCATCTGATCATTGATTGACACTTTGATGATGACATCAGAGCTGTGAATGAGTGATGTCACAGTGTGAAGATGGTTGAATGTGTGCTGCTTTGTTTTCACACTTACACTTCCTCAGACCTGGTCTCAACCATCGGACTCCAGCAGGCTCCACCCTGAAAGGAGGAGGGGGGTCAGAGCAGCATGGAAACATGGACATTACATCGCTCTCATACACAGAGGTTATTCTCTACAAATGGACTTACATCTTCACATGGAGCACTTATTATTAATCAGCTGATAGTCTTTCAGTTCAGTGGAGCTTCTTCTTATTGGCCGATGGCTACAGCTCATTATTTTCACTTATTGATGATATATTATTATTATCAGTATTATATTTTAACCCTCCTACTCAAAATAAAAAAACCCAGCTCCTCTTCCGCAGGTGCTCCGTCCTTCTCCTCCCGACTAGCAACGGTTATTGCTCTGCAGCGAGCCGAGTAGAAAAATGCATTTGTGTATCGGAGTCACGCTAGAAGAGTCTGAAAATTCCACACACAAATGCAGTTTACAAATTAAAAGCACTAAGACAAATGCGCGTTTGACAATTCATGTATCAATGTAACAACTTCCAAATATGTATTTGATGAAAATTGCAAATAACTGACAATTTGTACATTTGTGAAATTTTATTGCACATAATTAAAACAAGAAATATTTGTGTGTGCATCACAAATATGTTTACAAATATTATTTTTATATGTGAATTATTATTTTTTTTAACTTTTATATGGATTGAAGCATATGTGTGTGCATTGAAAATGCATTTGTGTATCGAGTCATATATAAATACAACTCCCCAAATACATTTGTGAGTCCTTTTTTGTGCATTTATTCATTATAAGACTGTTCTGGCTCCATATCTCCCTCTCTGTCTCTCTCTCTGTCTGTCTGTCTGTCTCTCTCTCTCTGTCTATCTCTCTGTCTCTCTGTCATGGCGGAAAAGGACGTCTTTCCTTGCCGCTGTCTCCAAGGTCTTGCTCATGGTGGGAACTGTTGGGTCTCTGTAAATAATGTTATAAGGAGTTCGGTCTAGACCTGCTCTATTTGAAAACTGTCCTGAAATAACTTCTGTTATGAATTGGTGACATAGAAATAAAACTGAACTGAACTTAACTGAATTGTAGTTTAGGTGACGCCTTTAGTTTTTTCGCGACAACATTGACAAATATCAACCCGCCATGATGCTCACCAACCCATCAGGATAAACCACTGTCCTATTTTTCAATGTCGAAACAAGACATCGGTCCAGAGAAACAGTTCATCACCTTTCCTCTGTCACCTGACTACTACTACTGTATTGATCCGCCTCATACCTGAGAGTGTCCAGTCTCCAGTGTGGATCCTCCAGTCCAGCAGACAGCTTTGTTGCTGAGTCTCCTGGATGATTGTAGCTCAGGTCCAGCTCTCTCAGGTGGGAGGGGTTGGAGCTCAGAGCTGAGACCAGAGAAGCACAACCTTCCTCTGTGATCAGACAGCCTGACAGCCTGCAGACACACAGAACAACATGTAGTCCGGTGTAAGAGTACAGGGGTTAAAACAAACTGAAAGTAATTTATGTTAAAAGCAGTGAAAGATGAAATGTTAACTGATAGATTAACATAAATTCATAATAAATAAAGTAGAGTGTAAATAGTTAATTAAGTAGTTACATTAAACTGTTCTGTATAGTAGCTGAAGAAAAGTGTGTGGTAAACTAAACATGAATTTTCAGATTTGTGTCATTGATTCATGCTGTTCCATTTAATAGGTTGCTGTACTTATCACTCAATGTCACCTGTTGGTAATTGGCCGTAGGTAAGGGAGTGAACAAAAAAGGGGCGGGAGAATCGAGCCAAGAGGACGCCATTGCTGAACGGGAAGGGGGGGGCGCACTGTTTTGTTTAGAGTTCAGTTAAGTAGCATATTTGATCTGAGTTTGATAAGTATAGAGAAATCGTATTAAGGAGTAAGAACTAGGAATTTTACCGGAGACCTGGAATTATTTGAATTTTGAATAGTATTTTGATATTGCCAATTCTATTTTGCTTATTGTAAGTGTCTATTTTTCTACAGTGTTTTGTCAATTTTGGTAAAGGTCTTTTTTTTTTTCAACTATAATATTTTTATTTTAAAGAAGTCCAATTTGAGTAATTGTGTTATTTAATTTTTAATATCTGTTAACTAACAAGGTAAATATTATTTGTGTTAAACTGGAAAACAACTGGTTAGTTAACTATTATTTCATTTATTTGAAAGAGTTGTCTGTGGTCAGTTATTTAAAATAGTGTAGAGTACGTGTGAATAGAGCCACTGCTTAGTCTAACAAAGTTGTTGGTTATTCATAAAGTATTAGGCCATAAAAGGTTTCACACAAAACAGGTAAACCTTCGTGGTAGCTACCTTAATAAATCAAACCCAAACACCCCGTCATGTAACTCCAAGGTGAGTTGCTTTAACTTAAGCATTTACTGAGTGTTGGGGTGCTACAAACACATTACATAATAAACATGTTCGAGGAAAGAGACTCAAACTAAATAAACAAAACAAAGTTAGAAAGATTATTAGAAATTCTATCCATCAACATAATTCAGGTTTAAAATGGTTATCAGTTGAACAGGTTGACAAATCCTGACCTGAGAGTTTCCAGTTTACAGTGTGGACTCTTCAGTCCAAAAGAAAGCAGCTTAAGTCCCGAATCCTGCAGGTCGTTGTTACTCAGGTCCAGCTCTCTCAGATGGGAGGGGTTGGAGCTCAGAGCTGAGACCAGAGAAGCACAACCTTCCTCTGTGATCAGACAGCCTGACATCCTGCAAACACACAAAACAACACATTACATAATAAACATGTTCAAGGAAAGAGACTCAAACTAAATAAACAAAACAATGATTTGAGAAAATGTTAGGAAGATTACAATTGTATCCATCAACATAATTCAGGTTTAAAGTGGTTATCAGTTGAACAGGTTGACGAATCCTGACCTGAGACTTTCCAGTTTACAGTATGGACTCTTCAGTCCAACAGAAAGCAGCTTCAGTCCTGAATCCTGCAGGTTGTTGTTACTCAGGTCCAGCTCTCTCAGACTAGATGGGTTGGAGCTCAGAGCTGAGGCCAGCCTGACATCCTGCAAACACACAAAACAACACATTACATAATAAACATGTTCAAGGAAAGAGACTCAAACTAAATAAACAAAACAATGATTTGAGGCAATGTTAGGAAGATTACAATTTTAGCCATCAACATAATTCAGGTTTAAAGTGGTTATCAGTTGAACAGGTTGACGAATCCTGACCTGAGATTTTCCAGTTTACAGTGTGGACTCTTTAGTCCAACAGAAAGCAGCTTCAGTCCTGAATCCTGCAGGTTGTTGTTACTCAGGTCCAGCTCTCTCAGACTAGGGGACTGGGAGCGAAGAACTGAAGACAGAGCTTCACAGCTTCTCTCTGAGAGGTTACAGCCACTCAGTCTGTAGAGACAATGTGTGATATATAATGTCTTTATAATCTCTCTAAGTCAAAAAGATAGCCGAGTATTTAAGTGATAATACAGAAATCCAACTATTTCTGTACTTACAGAGCTTTGTTGGAGGCTTTGACCACTGGCAGCAGCCTCAGAAGAGCCTCCTCTGAAGCAGAGTATTTCTTCAGGTCAAACATGTCCAGATCTTTTCCTGTTGACAGTAAGATGAAGACCAGAGCTGACCACTGAGCAGGAGACAGTTTATCTGTGGAGAGACGTCCTGAACTCAGGGACTGTTGGATCTCCTCCACTAGAGAACGATCATTCAGTTCATTCAGACAGTGGAACAGATTGATGCTTCTCTCTGCAGAGGGAGTCTCTTCGATTTTCTTCTTGATGTACTGGACTGTTTCCTGATTTGTCTGTGAGCTACTTCCTGTCTGTGTCTGCAGACCTCGTAGGAGATTCTGATTGGCCGGCAGTGAAAGGCCCAGCAGGAAGCGTAGAAACAAGTCCAGGTGTCCTTGTTGACTATCTAAGGCCTTGTTCACAGCACTCTGGTGGAGATGATTCAATTTAGGTTTGTCCCCAGAGACATTACACAACTGGGATGTTGTTTGTTGTTCTGCCAGCAGATTGACTCCATAGTTGATGAATGTCTGATGGACATGAAGAGCAGCCAGAAACTCCTGCACACTCAGATGGATGAAGCAGAAGACCTTGTCCTGGTACAGTCCTCTCTCCTCTTTAAAGATCTGTGTGAACACTCCTGAGTACACTGAGGCTGCTCTGATATCAATGCCACACTCTGTCAGGTCTGATTCATAGAAGATCAGGTTGCCTTTCTGCAGCTGCTCAAAAGCCAGTTTTCCCAGAGACTCAATCATCTTCCTGCTCTCTGAACTCCAGTGTGGATCTGTCTCAGCTCCTCCATCATACTTGATGGTCTTCACTTTGGACTGAACCACCAAGAAGTGGATGAACATCTCAGTCAGGGTCCTGGGCAGCTCTCCTCCCTCTCTGGTCTTCAACACATCCTCCAGAACTGTAGCACTGATCCAGCAGAAGACTGGGATGTGGCACATGATGTGGACGCTTCGTGATGTCTCGATGTGGGAGATGATTCTACTGGCCTGCTCCTGATCTCTGAACCTCTTCCTTAAGTACTCCTCCTTCTGTGGGTCAGTGAACCCTCTGACCTCTGTCACCATGTCAACACACTCAGGAGGGATCTGATTGGCTGCTGCAGGTCGTGTGGTTATCCAGAGGCGAGCAGAGGGAAGCAGTTTCCCCCTGATGAGGTTTGTCAGCAGCACACCCACTGAGGTGGACTCTGTAACATCAGTCAGGATCTCAGTGTTGTGGAAGTCCAGAGGAAGTCGACACTCATCCAGACCGTCAAAGATGAACACAACCTGGAACTCTTCAAACCTGCAGATTCCTGCTTCTTTGGTTTCAGTAAAGAAGTGATGAACAAGTTCCACCAAGCTGTACTTTTTCCTTTTCAGCACATTCAGCTCTCTGAAAGTGAATGGAAATGTGAACTGTATGTCCTGGTTGGCTTTGTCTTCAGCCCAGTCCAGAGTGAACTTCTGTGTTAAAACTGTTTTTCCAATGCCAGCCACTCCCTTTGTCATCACTGTTCTGATTGGTTCATCTCTTCCAGGTGAGGCTTTAAAGATGTCTTCTTGTCTGATTGTTGTTTCTGGTCTGTCTGGTTTCCTGAATGCTGTTTCAATCTGTCTGACCTCATGTTCATCATTGACCTCTGCAGTCCCTCCCTCTGTGATGTAGAGCTCTGTGTAGATCTGGTTCAGAAGGGTTGGGTTTCCTGCTTTAGCAATCCCCTCAAACACACACTGGAACTTCTTCTTCAGGTTAGATTTAAGTTCACGTCGGCACGCTGCAGCAGCAGTTCCTGAATGAAGAAAGAAGAAATGTAGTTAATAAGTAGAAGCTCTAATAAATCTGATGGATGTAAACTTTAAGACATCAAGATGGTATTTATTTCCCTCCCCCATAAAATCTCTTCAGCTCATCAGTTGTAAACAGTTTCTGTTTTCAGTCCAGAAGAATTCAGAGGTCTGATACAATGTGTGCATCATATTATCAGCAGAGTTTTAAAAGTAAACTTCTCCCATGTTGCCTCCATTTCCTCTTTCCATCATGTTCAATTTGTTAAAATCATCTTACTGCTCTGTAGACAGTCAGCCAGCTCTTCCTGCTTCATTCTCCTCAGGAAGTGCACTGTGATCTTCAGAAATGCCTCTCTGCTGCTCCTCCTCTGCTCTTCATCCTCACCATCCAACACCTCCCTCTGACTCTCTGAGCATTCTGGGTAATCTGGACTCAGAACCTCCTGGATCTTCTTCAGCTCGTTCTTCAAAAAAGTGACAATGTTGTCCTCCAGCAGCTGGAACAGAATATTATATGAATTAGTGTTGCACGGTGCACCGATACTTCAAAAGTACCGCGATTCTCGGAAATTAAAAAACGCCACGATTCCTAAATTTATTAGTATCGATACTTTTAAGAATGACCGCTTTCAGATTTGTAAGAGTCGTATTTGATGTTGGTGTGTGCAACGCATGCTTCCAGTGACTCCCTATGGACGTCTGTGTTTTGTCTCCTCACGCACGCAGCAAAGAAGCTGCAGCTGTCATGTGACAAACACTGTAACGAGATGGATGCATGTGCGAGCTCAAGTGATACTGTGGCCGCTGGTCCATGACTGGTAGAAAAAGATGACCCGAGGAGTGAAATATGGAAGTACTTTGCCTACCTTGCTGACAGTGAGGTCAAAGCTACCGATAAGTCGAGACCTGTTTGTCGTCAGTGCTGACCTTACAAAGGAATGTAAACAAAGGGAGCCAACACCTCCAACCTGGAGAAACACTTGGCTGACAAGCACGCCGAGTTGTAGGAGGAGTTTAAAGACCGACAGGTTAGTATGTGAAAGATAACACGACCATGTTCATGCCCTTAAATAAGTAAAATTAGTAGGCTATGGTTTATTTTGTGAGAAGTCACTATTTTGCACCGCCGTAGTTTGTCGAGGCTATCTAGAGAAATAGTAGGCTAACTATGGGAATTATCCTCATGGCTAACCAACAGCCTGCCTACGGCTAATTCAACATCTCTGAAAACGCAACTTTCACAGATAACGTTAATCATTTGCAAGCTGCTAAAATAAAGCATACAAACATCAGCTAAAATGATCTATAGGCTATATGATTATAATCAGAGCATGTGCATGTTTGTCAGTGATTTATTTATATGAGGTTATTACAGCATTTAAAGAGCACAGACCTACGCAAAGGAGGAGTATTTGTGAAACGCCTTGTAAGAAATGATGGACTCAAATATAAAGTTAACCATCAAAGAAATCACGACGCTGAAGTACAGGAAACATTAGCCTATATTAATCCATAAATCACAGCTTAAATAACATTAGGTTAACTCAGTATTACCTATTATTAATTATGGTAATGTTATGGTTAAGTAAATGTTAGCAGTTATCACTATAACCACTGCATATAGAGATGCTAAGTTAGTCACAAGTTATTGTTACTATCACACATAAACTATTTAGGTCCTCTGTTATGACAAATTTATCACCATCATATTTTAGATATTTCCATTTTCTTCTGCTACAGAAAAGTATCGAAAAAGTATCGAAATTCTTGACTTGGTATCGGTATCGAAACAATAATTTTGGTATCGTGACAACACTAATATGAATGACTCAATCAAAGTCAAATCATGGAAGCAAACATCAGATCCATGTTGGACAGACTGACAATCCACTGGTCTAAAAAGTGCAGCATGGAGATTATTGTGAACACAATAGATGTAAAAGTGGTTGATGTCCATGTACAGACCATAAATATGGAGTCCAGGTGTGTTTGATGCTGCTGGGCAGACTGACCACTGGGAACCTCTGAGCTCTCCGGGTCCACTCTGTGGAGGAATCATGAAGAATGAGCTCACATTATGTCTGTCCACACAGAGACAAACACAAGGTAAAGGTCCATGAAGTGATATTTGGATGTGAACAGTGAATCTGATGACTCCCTGTAGTGGTAAAGGTTTACTAGTCCTGCTGATCCCACTGAGAATCAACAGCTCAGTTTGGTTCAGTCCCAACAGCTCTCACCAACCCCTCCATATAGCTCTCCCTCCCTCACTGTAAACTGCTGAAGTGCCCTGGAGCAAGGCACCTAGAGCCTCCAGCTGCTCCAGTGGAGCTGCTCAGTGTCTGCTTGTATCAGACTGGTTGTACTGGGCAGCTCCCAGTGTGAATGTGTTTGACTGTGTGAGTGTGAGGCAGCTGCTGCTGAAAGAGTGTTGGTGCTCAGAGAACTTCATCTGAGTCAGTAAAGGTTTAAAAACTGGAGATTTCACAACTGAGAGTCTGATAAAAAGACATCATTTTATTTTACCATCAGTTTGAAATCCTCACCTTTGATCAACAGAGTGGCGGCCATCTTTGAAGTCTATAAGACCACCCATAGACCAGTCACTCTTCATGGACACACAGCTGGGTTCAGGTTTTTTCCTCCTGATAGAAAAACAGGATCAGTTCTGCACTGCACCCACAACACACTGAGACAGAACCTGCCAGTGACTGAATCCACCGACTGTACACAGTGTATTTGTACCCAGGGAGTTCTTGGTTAGGATTTCTATAAAGTCAGTGTTTGATTTAGACATGTTTCACTGTGTATTTTAAAGCTGTATTCAGTGCAGTGTGCAGTATAGGCGGGGAAATGATGGAGTGGAGTGACCATATCGGTCCAATTAGGATAAAAAGAGGAACAGACGTGGTGTCAAAGCAGTGAGTTTCTATAAACTGCTGCAACTATTTGTTCACTGTGAAACTGAGGCTGTTGTAAATTGAGCTGATCAGACACAAACCA